CCTGACCGTTTTCCTAGGGCTGTGCCCAGACAAAACTGCTCTGAATCGCACTGCCTCCAGTAAAATAAGGAACACTGCTGTGTTTGATGGGGACCAGTGGCCTCGGGGAGGATGGGAACTGGGGAGAGACCTGCGGAGCCGAGAGAGCTGGCCAAGGCGCTGGTATTGCAACCTGCCCGTGGGACGACCTCGCTCCAGGTCTTCTGGTGGGACCAGAGAGGATGCTTCTCCCTGGAGCCTTATGCCATCCCCACAGCCTGGGCATGCACACCCCTGCTCTGGGAAGGGGCTATTTTTCCTTTTCATTTCTCATGTGGGAGACAGGCAGGTGGGTTACTGCTGAGTTGTTTTGTTCTTTTTCTCCCTGTTCCCCAACAAAGCCCCATAGTGTCAGGAAACAGCTATTTAGGTTGCAACATCAACCGACTAACTCTTCAGGAATTTCAGGGTTGCTCTCGTCCTTGATCCTACAATTCACCCCCATTTACCTGTTACTCTCTCTCCTCTACATAAACAGGTTCCACAGGTAACCGGAAATTTGACATTTTTACACCATGAATGTACTTTTCACCACTGAAGGTTTTTAACATTTTTCAAATAATCTGTTTCCACTCAACAATTTGAAATGAAGAACTTCCAGGCTGTGGCTGCAGCTTTTTTCACTTGTACCAGCTTGCTGTGAGCAGAAAAAAGTTATCCCACTGGGCTCAAGGAAACGTTAGTGCCTTTAAAATAGTCACAAAGATCTCTCATTGTGAGAACCACCAGGAAGATGAAGACACGGGGATAGTTGCCAGTCTCTCCAATCAAACTCTATATACCTGCTACAAAGCCAATGTTTGCTCCTAACAGCTGCCACATCCAAAACGATGCTTCCCCCAAGCAAAAATACACGGCTCTGCCCTAATTTCACCCAACCACAGCAGAGCAGGAAAAGAGCAGGGTGGCTGCAGCCCCACAACCTGCGCCAGGGGAAAACGGTGATTTTTCGGCATGTCCCAGCATGGCAACATCCTTCAACCAGGCTTGGAGAAGCACAAAGTTTCAGGGTTTCCAAGCAGCGGTAGTGGGATCAGCAGTGCTGTCCCCCCAGTGGGAGGCTCCCGGCTCCCCCTACCCCGGCCCAGCACCCAAGAATCAAGCACAGTCCCACCCGATAAGCAGAGATACCTGCTCAGCTGCTATCTAATATTTATGGAAATATGTTTGCACTGCATTGGAGATTCTTGGGCTCTGACCTTGATCGCCCTTTGTTTCTGTCAAATATGTTCTGCCAAATCCCTTCTGAAATCTCATTTATTCACAGCAGCTCCTTAGCCCAGCAGGCACCCCACCTCGCCAGCCATCGCCGCCAATTCACGGTGTTCCTCTGCCCCCTCGCCCGCTTCCCCCACAGCCCCAGGGCCCAGCCCCAGCGTGGCCCCAGCCCAGCAGGTCTCCCTGCAGGTCCCTGGAGGGCTCAGCAGTGGCTTGTCCACACGATAACACTGCTGAGATGTTCACAGTGGGCAAAGTCATTCTCTTTCCAAGACAAACATAATTTTTCCTCTTTATTTTTTCCTAAATACTCTCATTTCTCAACGACAATCACACCTCTCCTATTTTCTTTCCCTCCTGCTGTCCCTCCTCTTTCCTTCCTCTTTTCCCATAGCAAGAGCGAGGACATTAGAAAAAAAAAAAAAAAGGCTGTATTAATAATTTTCTGTTTGTTTCTTGCCATCAACACAAAAAGTAACATGCCTTCCCCCAAAGAGCCAGGCCTGCCTCCTCCTCAGCCTCCCTGCACCCTGCTGCATTGGTCCTCCTCATGTCACATCTTCTGCCATCTCTTTGTCTACTCTCGTCCATCCATCCCTGCTTCTCTCTTCTCCAGCTACCTGCACCCTATCTTCAGTGTCTGAAAGCTCCCTTAACTTCTAAAAAGTGATGGGGGAGAAAAAAAAAAAAAAAAAAAAGAAATAAAGTGACAGAGACATCAGTGAAGACCCATGTTATGTAAATGTAGACCTCGTTCATGGGGCAGAGAGTAGTGTGCAGGGGCTGGTGGCGTGGAGGGTGCTCTGGGTGATGATGCTGAAGGGACAAGGACATGCAGAGGTGACAGTTGCTTTGGGTTTTACCCATCAGGGTACAGCTGCTTTGCTCGAAGGAGGGGCTCCTGACACCCCACGGGTAGGCTGGAGCCAGAAGTGGGGTCTGGCATGTGGCAAATCCACCTTCACTCCCAAGCTCTCATCCTGCCAGGGGAATTTCTGTCCTGATTTAAATACACTCAGACTTGGTATTCACTTGGATAACAGGAAGAGCAACCTCCTCCCTTGCAGAAGCACCAGGAGGCTTAATTCAATCTAAGGATGATGTTGGGACACCCCAGGACAAGAGACACCCCAAAAGGGACAGCAACCTGCACCTGTATTTTCCTCATTCACTTTCGAGCTGTAGAGGAAAATACCAACCCCAGTTGCTCTCAGTGAGTCCTTGCTCACGGCTTTTCAGGAGCTTGGGATTTTTTCATGAGGATGCCTTAAAAAAATCCCAAGGCTCAAGCTACTTCTTTATAGGAAAAGTCTGACCAATGTCTGAACATTTTTCCTTGAATTTCTTGTCAATTTTCACTGCATTCAAACCGAAAGACATGGCAGCCAAGGCAGGAAATAGCTGTGTATGCAAAACCCGGTATGAACTACAGCAAAGAGCAGCAGCAGGGAGAGAGGCCCCCGGCCCCGGCATTTGCATGAGCAACGCTGGTCCTGGAACAAAGACAGGACCCCTGCGCGCCTCCCGCGCGGCGCTCAGGCGAGGCTGGCTCCCAGCCTGGCTCCCCATCACTACCCGTGTGGTAATAAATCCTCTCGTTTTGGAAGTGATAGCAAACAAGCCCCTTTCTCGATCTGGAGGCTTCCTGCTACAAACACCCGCCCGAAGGCGGCCGAGGCAGGGCGGGCTGCACGGGGCCAGGGCCCGGCGGGCACATGGGCACGAGGTCTTGGCCATGCGAGTTTAAAAATCTGCTCTGCCTCCCGGATTTTATTGCGTTCTCCTGTGCACGTGCTGCTCCCGTTACTGCTAACAGGAGCTGTATGTGTGCTACGGGACGAACGCTGCTGTCATGGGCTGGTGCTGGAGTAAGGGGAGACTCGATTTGGGCATCCAGAAAAAAAGGGGGGCTACAAGGTGTTACCTTCCGGTGGGGGAAGTCTGACGGCATGGAAGAAAGGCCTTGACAGGAGGGTTAGGCAGGATTTAATTTTGACGTAAAATTGTAACACAGTTCACTCCGTGATCTACTCCCTTTGCTGCTGGGACATCTGAAGATGTATTACAGCTCCAAGGGTTTCTGCTCAAAACTAAACAAGTTTCAATTCACTATCGGCTGGAAAATTCAGGGTTCACTGGATTTTTTATTTTCATGGTAAGGGGCAAACAAATCTTAATCTCTCTATTCTACGTTTACAGCCCACTAAGCCCCCTTCTTATCTTCTCTGGCTCAGTCCTGATTTATTGTCACGATGCTGCATTTGTAAAACAGTACCATAAAGTAAGAAAGAGAACATTTCCCAAGGACTACTCCAAAATAAATTATTTCAGACGTACAGAAGCTGCTTAATAAATCCTACTATTCTTGTTTCTTTAGGTATTTTAGAAAGTGATTTATAAGTGCAATACCACCTCTCAAAAATGAGACAATCAACACAGGATAAAATTACCGTGTTATGAAAATAGGGGTCAGGCAAAGGGGCTGTGCTTTAAATTAAACCAGGGAAAAATATTTCATCTGAAATTGACTCTTTTTGTCTCAGAAATGAATGTTTTAATCACCTAAGAACCTAAAAGCTAACACAGAGGCCTAAGTAATATTTAATTCCATAGCAATACGCCCGTGTTCAATATTGATGGGCAGAACATGATATTTTTCTCAAACACACTAACAATGAAACTTGGAGACACATCAACACTTTAGAAAGCCTTGGGATTTTCCTAGACTAAGAGATAATATCCCATTTAAATATTTAAATATCACTACCTTTCAGACCGTTATCTATTCAAGCAATCAACACCAAATGTTCTCCAGCTAGGGCAGTGGCAGACTCGCAGGCATGCTATTTAAGTGAAATTAACTCTGATATTTATGCCACCCAGCGGCACCCAGGAAAATCAATGATTTTAGAGAAAAACAATGTAGAAAACTAACCATAGGGCTAAATCTTCTAAAGAGGAAAATATTATTAAACAGCAACAGTATTAATTCAATACCACTGTCAAAATCAAGTCACAACCTTTCCTCAGTGCTGCTGATACAGAAGCGTCATAAGGTCTAATTAGCCCTGAAGTTTCTTCCCAGAGCTGCACTTTACTTCATTATCCCTGCCTTATTTATTCCCACAGAAGAGTCATTTGAAACTTCGCAAGGTATCCCCTTGCCATGGTGTGAGCCAAGAAGCAATTTGAGTTTGCAAATGCAAGGAGGGATTGTGTTCCCCTTGAAATCAATAGGACAGCTTTCCCTTCACGGAGCATCCCTGCTCCTCCTGCGGATGCCACCGGGGCCACCCCGGCAGCAGGACACAGGGGTGATGGGCTGGGGGCTTCTCCCAGCAGGAGAAACGACGCAGGGGCTATGAGTGCGGGGGTTTGGCTGGTCGCCTTCACAAGGGGGGGACGAAGCATTTGCACTTTGCTCGGTTCGGTGATGCTGTTGCGCACGTGGAGGAAAGCAACCTTCCCCCCTGCTCTTGAGTCATTAATAAGGCTCAGGAAGACACCAGACTGGAAACGTCAAATTGCTACCACGAGCATGGCTGCGCGGACGACTGCAGTGTCTGCCTCCGCGCCCCGACCCTGGTGGGCAGCAGCGCAGCGAGGCCAGGCTGGGTCACCAGCTCTTCCCAACCCCCCCGTGCAAACAAGTCATCGTCAACATCCTCCTACGTTCAGTTGACTCCCAACTCGAAACACAGAGCAGCTTTAATTAAAGACAGTAAGAGGGGAAAGTCACTGACCGTGGGTAGCTGGCTGGAGAGAAGATGCCCATCCTGACTCAACATGTTGGAGACCATGATGGCCGGCAGGTCCATGTTCTGGTAGGGGTACGCTGGTATCAGGCTGTTCGGGGGGAGGCTGTGGCACAGGGAGTGATATCCAGTTTCGTGGTCCACCAAGTGCAGGAGGGAAGGGTCCGGGAGATTAGGAGGCGTTATGGGAGGGATCTCATAGTCTTCGTTATTCTCATTCTGGCCATTATATGTCTAAAACATGAAAAAGACATTTTGCAATGCATCACTGCCTTGTTGCTTCAGCAAAGAAAAATTATTATATGTGTAAGAAATACAAAAGCCCGTTCCAGTGAAAGTGGTTTTGTTTTAACAAAAAAGACATCGCTGGTCCCTGACACCAGCAGGTTGTAGCTAGGTAGGAGCCAGGTAGTGACTGTGTCAGAGACACCATGGGTCCTCGCACACCTCGGATCCACCTGGGGCATCCCCCCTGCTCTCCTCTCCCCCTGCATCCCTCTAGCACACCTTTAGCTCGCCAAAACCTCAGCAGAAACCTCCACGCCTGGATTGCACCCAGAGCCCACAGCCATGTAAGAACACTTGGCCATTTCCCAATCAGCTGCTGGTTTTTAAGTCAAAGACCCTCCCTGGGCACTCAGCTCAGCTCTTACAGTATCTACAGTTTGTATTTTCAAGACCTTTTATGATAATTAGCTCCATAGAAATAAATAGTACTTGGCAACAAAATTCCCACTGTTACCACACAAACTCCAGCACAGAAGCTACAACCAGGGAAGGAGATTTGGAAACACAGCCGTCACTTTTTAAAAAATCCTTTAAAGAAAGCCTGCATGACTCCAACACACACGGAGATTTGTCCTTCCTTATATCCTCATCCAAATTTAATTCGGACAAGTGTTCCCTCACTTCCCTACCAGTGCTCCCTTGAGGTGACCACGAACACACACAGATGTTGGTGCTCCCCATGCTCCTTGTTTTTTTTGGTGCCTTGTTTACTTTTAAGCATTCCAATTTATATGGAGAAAGAATATGTTATTGCACCTGTGCAATAGCTTTCACTTTGGACAAAAATATATTTGCTTCATAATGTAAGTGTGAATCTACCCAAAATTATTAATTATCAATGAGTATTATAATGAGCACCTGGCAGAGGAGGTTTATTCTAAACATATACTGTTTCACATATTATTATAGCATATGAAATTCTGATTAGCTATAGTATTATACACATGGATTTTAAGCTAAATTTCCCAGATCACCTAGTTTCATGGTTGGATTTTGACTTAATACTTGATTTAAGAGCAAAACCCCAGATGTGTGCAAAACCAGTTAAGCACTGTAGGCTTTATTAATCCACTGCCCCAGAGCTCATACTCGGCTTCATGCTCTTCATTACCCCAGACTGCAGTGAGAAAACCCTTAATAAAATAAAATAAAATAAAATAAAATAAAATAAAATAAAATAAAATAAAATAAAAGCCATATTTAATGGGCATACAGAAGTCAGTGGGAGAGGCAGTGGGGAGCAAGGAGGTACCTGTGGAAGGGTTTCCTGGAGAGTGATCCAGCACGGCCTGGGAGAGACCCTGTGGGGTGTCAGAGCCGGGGGTCACTCTTGCCTCACCCCAAAACTGGGGCTGGGAGCAGCTCATGTTCTGCTAAGCTGAACCTCCACCTTTTGCCTCCCCTCATTCCGTTGCAAAAAGAGACACGGAATAGAGCAGGTACTGCACATCCCGCCCAACCCTTCCCATTTGCCTGAGATTCCCACTGGCTGTGGGGAAATACGAGTATGCCAGAAATGCAAGACGGAGCCTGGGCTGAGATAGCTCTGTGCCAACAGTTGTTGTTCATGGGAAATTCAAGCCCAGCTATTTTTCCAGCCAGCTTCTGTCTAGCAGTGGTATTATACAGGGAAGGCAGGGGGCTGAGAGGATGTGCACAACAGCAGACAGATAGATCCCATTTAATACGTCTAGTAGTTAGGTTTCCATTTGGGCTATGTTCTTCGAGGTACACCGATTCTTTCCCAGTTATTTAAGAGGATTTCACTCCATGCTTTACGGAAAGGGATTTAAATAAATCATTGCACAGCAAACTTGTTCCTCCAGCTGGTTTATTTTGGTATCAGGTATATAAGCAAGTGGCTTTGCTGTACTTAACTAAATTATGTAAAACCCACTCAAAGTTTCCTAAAGCTCTCTTCAAAACTACAAGTTCCTTGTGTTGCTGCAGAGCAGCTCACCAAAGGGCTTTGAGGCGGTTTTGTAAGGAGCGCGAAAGCCGGTCGCCCTGCTCACCCCCCTGCGCATTTCTGCCTCTGTTCTATTCAGCCCAGGGAAAAAAAAAAAAAAAACAACAAAAAAAACAGACCTGTTTAAATCACAAAGCTTTCCGAATAGCTACAGTATTGTGCAGACATATCAAAATTACAATCAAAGCTGTACACAATCAAAATCAGATTAGACAATATCCAATCAACATAATCAGACTCGGCGCCTGCCAGCTTTTACACCCTATCTCTACGAACAATTTTCCAAAGCAAGCCGCATTTATTCTATATATGTTTTAAATAGATCGCCAGAAAGATAAGGAAGGGAGATGAGACAGATAGACACTTAAAAGGGTGGGAAAGGGGGGTGATTTATTGTCACACAAGGTGCCTATTGACACATCCAAGGTGACGACTCCATCCCCACGAAGGGTGGTCTCAAGCCACGAGCACAAAAGCCGTCGTCTCAAACACTTTGCCAGTAACACCCAACACTCCTTTCTACCACCATGTGGGCTCCGCTGAAGATTATATTTTCTATTCTTATGTTAATTTGAATTAAATTAAACAGCCAATTATACGTTATAAGGATACATTACAAATTAGATTAGTGAGCTGGTCTGAACCCATTCATCCCACCAGGACTCCAAACACGAGCGCAGAGAAGCTCGCTCTGCTAAAAGACTGCCCATTACGGCGCACAAAAAAAGCACAGAAGATCTAGGATTTTCCACTGTCAAACAGATGACAGTTGTTGTGATTACACATTATTCCTCTTCAAATTAAAACACTGAAATCAGCTGAAACAAGCAGCCTCTCCTTGCAAACCCTCCCTCAGCTCGCACTGCAGGGCAGACGGGTGCTGCTTGGAGTGGCAAACCCCTGCTTGTGCCTGCAGCGGGATGGAGCAACCCGATCGAGCCAAGCACTCTCAGAGAGAGGACAGAGCCTCTTCTCTGACTCCTGCCTTGCCCACAGACCCCCGTGCATCTCTGTCCTCCAGCTATAGGGGCTGTGCTGCAGCGCCAGGTGCCAGGCATGGACCAGACTGCCCCGAGCACAGCACTGGGGCTATGCCCCATGCTTGAACAGTGATGCCACAGGATGGCATTGCAGCAGGTACAACCAACCTCCAACAGCAGCAAAATCATATTTAAAACCAGCATTTCCTTCTCGAAATCCAAGTCTGAACAGGGGTCCCTGGACCATCTCTGCCCACCTGCAGATTCAGGGTCAGATGACAGAGGGCTGGAGGGAAGGTGATGCAGGGACATGAAAAGATGCATCCATCTTGCTGTGCTCATGCTACGCAGTTTCCCCGCCACCCTTTCATCATGTCTTGCTGGGCCACAGCTCCCTAGATCTGCACCTTCGGCCCAGGGAAATGTGGAGGGATCTGTAATGGGGAGAAAGGCTCTGGTTCCCAGCAGGGTGACACCCAGGTCACACCCAGGACCAAGAGGAGTGAGACCAGGTAACCACATTGCCTGCTGCTCCCTCCTAGCTCACAAGCACAGGGCTTGGCACACGCTGTTTGCATTCATTTGAAAGGAAAATCAGAATTGCTGAACCCCTTGCGAGAGCACGGGGCGACTTGCCCAGCAAGGTCCCACTGCCAGAGCTGCAGTGGCACCAGCAGGCACAACCTGTGCTCCCAAAGCACCAGAGGGTCTTGGAGCCACCCCAATGTGCCCTCCCCAGCGCTGCTCCCCGCCACGGGGACGATGTGCTTCCTGTACTCCCTGATGCTTTTCAAGACAGGGACAGAGAGATAAATTGGAGGCACTCAAAAACCCCCAGGATCTGCAGGTGACCCACATGAGGCTAACAGGGAAGGACACAGCAGCTTGTGCAGCAGGAAAAGGCTGAGAGGGAGGACAGGGAAGTGGTGGGGCTGGAAAAGGGTTAAAGAGCTGGAAGGAGCAAGTCCCTGGGGGTAGGATGATGGAGAACAGAGGGTAACACAGCAGAAGCAGGCAGGATAGCCCTGGTCAACCAGGGGGAGCAGAGCTATTGTAGGATGAAGAGGGAGGACATGAGTCCCTGCCTCCTGCATGCATGCTCAAGCAATAGCGCTGTGCACACCCTGAGCAAAGCTGTGCTGACTGGGGCCCTGGAGGCTCTGCAGTGCATGTCTGTGGGTGCAGAAGAAGCAGGAGTTGCAGTTAAAGGGTGCCCCATATGGACATGGAGCTGAATCAAGAGAGTAGGTGGAGAACAAGAGCTTTACAGGGGAATGAGCTGGTCCCTCTGTCTGTCTCACAGGCACGGGAAGCCTCAGTTTTAACAGTAAAACTGGATCTTCTTTTATATGGCTGCATAAGTACCTGAATTATAAGCTCATTGAGCTGTGGACATCTTCTCTACATGCCCTTAAGCTGCATCTGAAAGTTACTGTGGGTCAAGGAGAGAAGCGAGGAGCTTTCACTCCGGACTGTCAGCATCCAGGACTGTCAGCATCCAGCAATGAGCAAGCTGGAAATAGCACCCAGCATTTTCACAGCAAGTATCTACCATTGCTGCAACGAAGCAAAAATGCCTGCAACAAAGGAACATGCTTCTGCTGCTGCTGCTCCAGGGTGGGAGAGAAACGATCCCAGTTTTCTTCTGCTCCTATCAGCAAGCTGCACCAGGCAGCGCAGGGGAAGGTCAGGCGAGCAGTGCTGGAGGCAGAGCTGCCTTGCAGACATGGGGGCTGCCCTGGGAGCAGGCAGCAGGGCAGGTAGTGAGCTCTTCAGCCACGAAGCCTTCTTGTCTGCTTTGAGAAAGCCAGGCCAGATCACTCAGCTTTGTTACAACACCCCTGGATGTGCTTGCACCCAATCACCAGCGCACCTGAGACTGATGGGGCGTGCAGGGATGGGAACGGAGATGCCCGCTCCCAGCTCCCACTCTGATCTATTCAAAGATTCCACTTCTATTCCAGATTTCCACTTCTTCTAGCTCATGTATACTGAGC